TACTTAGAAAAATCTAAAAATTTTGAATAGGCTACCTAAAGGCATAATGTTAATTTTGCAATAAATATCAAGTTAATAATATTAATAGTTATAGGTACCTGGCTTTGTTCTTTTTTGTATAGCCTACTTCCAATATTCTGGAGTTTTTGGGGATATCAAAGTAATGTCCCTTTTTTGTACCAATTTTATATTCAGATTTCTGAAATATTATGTTATTAAGTACATTTTCTCAAATCCTGTCCCTGTAACTACCAAATCTGCACATACTTGGAAAGTTTCAGTACATTATCTTGATTAGTAGCTCAGATTTTAAGATTTTAGCGATGAAGGGTCTTTCAAAAATAAAGTTTTGAGAAAAACGCATTAAAAATGTCACTGTGTAATTTGAGTTTGAGGGTTTGTTCCTTCTAGAGGCTCCAGTACCATGCACTATTATTTCTAGTCACATATAAAATCTCATTTTAGCACGGTTACAAATAACGTCATTTATACATATAAGTTTAGTGAACCAAGTAGACAAAAATATAACAAAAAATGAGGAAAAGTGACCAAGCAGTTGTTTTTGCAAAAGGGGGGTGAGATCGCTGGAAACATATATTTTCACCTATTTTGTCAATTTTTTTTACCCAAATGGACCAGAAAATCTGATTTAGAAAAGAAAAACTGCTTTCTAGAAAATCAATAACATCGAAAATTGACCAAAAACGTTACCTTAAGCCAAAAAAGTATAGATTTTCTAAATCTAGTCTAATAGGCCTAGTTTGTTATTTTATCCGATTTGCAAAAATTGTGTCCCCCGGCCAATTCGCTGTGCTGCAAGTGCATTCACTAAGAGTAAAGTGCTTAACGTGGAGGGCGGGGGGCTGGGGTGTGATCAAAGGCAGATTATGCAGTGCTGCATTGGGCCATATGGTGTATGACTATGAGTATGAATTGTTTGGGTGCAAGTTTGAATGTTAATATATATGGATAGGACAAAAAAGCCCAAATTTACATCATATAATATTACATCTGAGAGTGAGTGGGATACTCATCGCAGCAGAATACAGAGATACTCGATAACAATTTTCTTCCCACTCAGGTCTCTTGAGTGCGATAGCAAAATGCCAACCACTAAACAACAGACGCCAGTAGTAATGGTAAGGAACGAGAAAAGATTACACAGGGTAGATGATGAGCTGTGCCTAATGTTGGTTACATCCCCATGAGCGTGTGTGATATAAGAGCAATTTTTGGGGACGCAATGCAATTCCCCCCCCTCCCAAATGACGTCACAGCCCTACATTGGGAATGTTTGAAACTTAATTCCCCCCCCCATGTAATCGAATATAGTTTTTAAAATGATAGAAGAAGGGTATTAAAATTGGTAAATGATCATTCACATCTCTGAGCATTGCGTGCATGTGTTAGTGTTCTTAATTTGAAGTAGGCCTACAGTGTCATTGTTATCCCTGCTCACCATGAGGAGATAGGAATAGGACTTTAAAGAGTGTATATAATTATCATTTGATGTTGGATATCGAACGATTAAAAAAAAAAAATGGGACAAAAATCAGTGAGGGCTGAGATAAAATATTTGTAATCAATGAATTAATGGAGCATGTGTGTGTGTGTGCATTCTCTTAACACACAGTTCAATTGTAATTTCCTTCTCCGCAAATTCCTTTCACTTTCAGACTGCTCCAGTGTTGTACTTTCAATACGTTTCTCTGTTGAACTGGCCAGCCTCCACGGCATTGGTTTTCACATTTTCAGTGAGTTTCCGAATGAAAAGGGAAATGTTCGGTGACGCACCAAAGTGCTGTCATGCGCAGAGGTAAAAAAATGAGCAAGATTTTTTTCTGCGGACAGACGAAAGAGGACAAGCTATAAATTCAAAAGCATTACAAACTTGTTGATTGTTTGTCTGATCTCCACACACACAGCTCAGCACAGGTGTACACCAGACACAAGACATTAGTGATTGAACAGCCGCCCAAAACTTCATTCAAGTGTGTAGAGTACACACACAACAATCTGGACAACACAACGAGTGAGTTAGCCTAGAGCCCTTTCTTTCTGATCGCCAACGCTGAGCTGTCAAATTGCTTGCGTTAGAGAAAGAAACCTGATTCGATTTTTGATCAAGTAGTAGTAGTAAGGCCTGGTGAGGTCATGCTGAACAAAATCATCAGTAGGGAGGATAACAACAAGAAATAAACAGAACACCAAACTCATAGATCAGGCGTACTTTATTATTGATCTCCCTTGAATTTATTCTGACATCGTAGTTTTCTGTATGGAAAATTTCAAAATTCTGTGCACAATATTGTACTCTCAAAATGACCAAATTCTGCAAGGATAGCGACCATGTCTAAACTTCTTTTTCCATACTGCTTTCAAAATATAAGTACTAATTAATCATAAGCTGAGAAGTAGCACTGCAGACACTGTAAATAAAATAAAAAATCCAGCAATTAGCAGCATACAATCTGTATTTTTGTTTAGAAAGATAAGCTCATAACATAAAATACTACCAAATCAAAAGTGTGAACCAAAAAAAGAGACACCATTGTATACCAGTAATTTCAAAATCAGGTGAGCTGGCTGTTTGAGCTGTCATTGATTGTCAGGAGGCGTTGAACTTGAAGATAAAAAAGACAGTTATGTTGTTTGAGAAAAATGAAGTCCTAGGAAGATGGGCAGAATATGTAGGAAAATTATTTGAAGATAAAAGACCACCCCTACCACAACCAAGCAACAATTATAATGGTCCCAACATTCTAAAGTCAGAGGTAGAGCTCGCAATTAGAATTAGAAACACCCCACAAGGAAAAGCTCCGGGTGAAGATGACATAAACACAGAAATGCCCATCCACCATCCATTTACAGAGGTGGTCAAGTACCATATTACATATGTACTAACAGAACAGTTTTCCGCCACACGTGTACTTTTGGTAAACTGAAGCTGACATTCAGCGGCATTTGTTTTCAACGCATTCTTTCCTTTAAAAAAAGCATCCCCTCTCGCCTGTGCTCCAATATAATAGCCGCTAATAGCGCATGCACAATAGAATCTATGGAAGGTGGTGCTACTGACTGAAGTGTTTTTAGGTCATTCCCAAAGGAGGGATATTAACATTTTTTTCTTAAGAACAGTAGAATTGTAAAGTAAATCGGCTGTATTAATGTCATGCTCATACTGTGCCGGAATAACATAGGGAATAGGGGGAACTGCTGCTTTTCCTTTCCTCATCCTTACTATCGTCATTTTCCTCTACTTCTTTAGTGTGTTTGTCACTCTCTTGTGAACTGTTTTTTCCGGGGTGCCTTGATAGTCGAAGCAGTCTTTGCACTGTTGAGGCTAGAGAGGTGAGAAGAGTAAGCCCGATTCCCTGTTTAAATAACTCTCTGTTGACATCCCCCCCATGGCGCTCATAAGACCTATGCAGTTGCGAGCGTAAATCTTACTAAAACAAACAAGAATCTAGATCTAGATCAATTTTATTGTTTTTAAAAAAGAGCGCTCTAATTTCCAGCTTCCGGTGAGAGGGAGATCACTCTAACGTTGTCAGCTCGCTTCAGTTTAACTTTTTCTCTCGCAATTCTACGTCTGAAAGCACAGAATAATAATGCCGTAAAATTTTTCAAAATTCTGCAAAAAATCAAAATTCCGCGGCGAGCGCTGTTGATTCAGTTTTTCACGCCCGCGGAAAACTATGATATCAATTTATTAATGGATCCCTTATTATGACGGGAATCCTGCTATAACGGAATTTCGCGCCAGTTCCCTCCTTCTCGTTATAACAGGATTCCACTGTATTACTAATAACTTGATATCATATAATCAAGATTATGCCTTTTGGTTTTCAAAATTTTAAGATTTTCTTAAGTATTGTATAATTTCAATATGGCCGCCGATGTGACATAACATTTTGGGTTAAATTGTTTTTAAACATTTTGATTTATTTCTAGGAGGGTACATATTTTGGGAAATTTTGGTTAAAAAAAAATGCATTATGGAGATAGCTTTTCTTGGTAGCAGACCCCTTAAACTGACCTTGCAAACCCTGATCTGTGACGTGCTCTAATAAATTTAATGGTTTTACTCACGATGGAGAACATAGATCTAATGGTCTTTGTGGTATTCCTTCAAAATCATCATCCTTGTAACTTTGATCTCCAGAAAATAATCTAGTATAACCCGGATAGGTCAAACACAGATTACTCGAAATCACGCATCCGTCGAACTGTGCCTGCGGCCCCGTTTTTTTTCTTCTTTATCTTTGTAATGTAAGAAAATTCCACGAAGCTCGAACACAAACACGGAACAGTCGAACTAATTACACTGCCGTAGATGTGTTAAGTCCATGTCCTTTGAGGTGCACATGAGACAAAATTATCATAATTTTTAAAAGACGGAAAAAGGCAAGGTCCTCAAAAAACCACCTCCCCCTTCTTTCCACAAAAGTAGCCAGCTGTGCTTCTTTTAGCGCGCTGCTCGACGCGCATGCCCTCTGCACGTGCCTAGGTCCTAGGCCTAGCTAGGCTTATGTGGAGTGGGTGAGAGAAAAGGTTGTGCATCATCGATCAGCCGCCCCACCCCTCTTTTCAAAGGACTGTGCCCTTGTAGGAGAGACAGGAAATGGCTGCAGTTTTGTCATTGCGTTGTTGATTACTGTTGTGATATATGTTTATCTTGTCAAATTGTTTGCTTTGACAAATTTGAAAAGGCACCATTTGATTGGTGCAGACTAAAGACCGCTCACACTGACTCGCGCACATAAACTGTCATGGTAGCGGTAGGTACAATATCGATCGAACTCGAAAGCATTGCTCATTGTGTTTCTCATTCTCAACTTGCCAATTTGAAATTTCAAATTCAAGTCAATAGGCATAGATCTAGATCTAACCTATCTTATCCAGGACAATGGTTGGACAGAAGGGCGAAAGCCCAGCTGTTGTTGGATTGATAACAACAACAACAACAATCCAGGACAATGGCCAAAATAAGAAAAATCTCTGTTCTGACCCAATCTTTATTGCTTCCCTTGATTCTTTAACACAGCCCATACCACAACACTGTTCACGTATCCCTTGAACTACGGAGGCCGGTCCGGACGAATTCGAGCTATCCGCGTTATACTGTATATATTATAAAATTGTGAAAGTTTGTCACTTTAGTCGGCTAAAAATTCCGAACCACTTAACTTTCGAATTTGAAAAAAAACCTCATGTTTGCAATAACGAACACTTGGATTCAACAAAACTGAAGGTCAGGCACGCCAACTTTGTTGAATTCAAGTTCCACTGTACTGTACTTGTTGTCCACCCCCAACATATTTGAGATATCCATGCTTGACTTTACGTACAATTTAAAATGCAGAAAATGAAAATACAGACAAATAGTTTATTATAATTCATCAAGTATGAGGGTACATTGACATAATATCCAAATAGTGACAACAAAATTTAGGACTGTTTCCTGCCTTTTGCCTTTCTTTTCACAGACTTGGCTTTAGCACCAGCAGTCTTTGCACTTTGCTTTCCCACAGCCTTCCCTTTCCTGAAGCGCCCCCTCTTCTGTGGCTGGCCCTCAGAATCTCTATCTTTGATAACTTCAACATCTCCACTTGGGTAAACTTTGACCTTGGCCCCAAGCAAAGTTGAGATTTCTTCAGCCTCCACAACTTCTTTGTCAGCGTTCTCCTTGGGAATAGTGACCTCTTGAGGTCCGCCTGGAAACATAAATGACATTTTTTTTAAATTTTCACTCAAACACTTAAGGGCTATGTAAGTACAAAGCTGGAAGCAATGACTAGCAATTCTGATGAGACTGGGCAACATGTAGGGATAAGTATTGCTGTCTTTAAGTATTCCTGAGATTTTGGATTTGTTTTTATCACACTGGCATCACTTTCAACTTTTACTCAATGCAGGGTAGCAGCTTGTTGTTACTAGGAACATAAAACAAAGGTTTAACACTACAAACTTTCTGTCTGCATACTACTATAACAGGAGTTAGCCAAACCTGTTCCTCTGTGTGTTGTGATCCTTTCCACAGCTTTGGGGCCCCGATGCGTTGGAATCTCACACTTCACACACAAATGAACCGAGGCTTTAACTAGCCTTTTTCCCCACCTATACTCTCAGCAGGCCTCCTCTGCCTTGATACATTTCTCTCCGAGAGGTCTAAAAGTCCCACCAGTAGTAGCTCAGACTGCTTTTATAAACTTGCAAACAATACAACTGAACACAGACTCACACTTAACTCACTCTCACACTTTCAGCTAAACAATACAATAGGCTAGGCCTAACCCCCCTGCCACAACCAAAAACAACCAAATAGACCACACAGCTTACGTATCATAACTCAGAGTGTTGGTGAAAATTCTTTTTTGGCATATTCCAATGCACTGGCAAGGGGCGCATGCTTTGTGAAAATCTGAGAGGTGTGCGACGACTATTTTATGAAAATACATGTTAAATTGAAAGTCAATTTTTATTGTTAATGGATATAGTAGTAAAAAATGAGTTGTGCTGCTACCCTGTGATTATATGATAATAACTGAGTACAATTTTTGTTTCTTTCCATTGTTATTAAACCCCCCCCCCCCCCCCCACCCTTTCCTCAAAGAGAAGGAATTTAACATGAACAAAATATAACTATGTACAAAATTATATATTTTAAAAATTGTCCACAAGAGCAACCACACACATGCTAAAAATGTCAAATAAACAGCAAAACATAGATTAACCCCTTTGTTGCTCTATGATGCACCTGGTATGTCACGAAAAATGTTAATAATTAGCTTTGAGCTTACCATGAACATCACAGAAGTTGGCCAAACTTACCCTTCCAGGTTGCCAGTACTATAAGATGTTACAAATTATAAAGATGTAAAAACCAGTCACAATTTGCAGAGTATGGCTAAACCTGGGCAAATCACAGAATGGACTTGCTAGACCAATAACACCTTCGTTGTAGTGTTGACTGCTACAAATCTAACCGGGTTATTTCTGCGCTCACAACACCAATTTTTGCCACTTGGGCAAGTTAACTGGAGGAGCTACCCATGAGGACCATTTTCTATGTTTGTTGCCCAAGATCAAATCTAAGTACACATATAATATAAGTTAGACATAGTAAAATCTCTTGATACGCAATTTTTTTGGGCATAGCTACAGCGGTTGCTATGGAAACGGCCGCCTTCTTGAAAATAAACAATGAATTTCAAATCCCTAAGGCTTTTTTATTTACAGACCAAATTTGACCAAATTTGGTGAGAGTATACCTGAACCAGACATTATCAGAGTAACAGCAAGTTTTTTTCAATCAGTGCAAAAGAAAAAAAAAAAGAAGAGAATTTTCCCAAGTATAAAAAACCTTTTTCTAAATTTAGGTTGCGTAATCGCTTGGGATGGAAAAGTATTATTTTTTTTCTCGCAAATATCTCTCTGTTACATTGATGGCAGCCTTGCCATCTATGTTTCCTGAAAAAAAAAATTTCATCTCAAAAGGATGAAAACTAAAGAAGGAGTAGGGAAAAAACTGCAAAAAAATTACATTTTTCGAAAACCGACAACAATTGTGAAAATTCACTATATTTATCCATCCTCATGTTATTAAAGGCAATTTACCTGGAGAATAAAGTCTTTCTCAACTGTATCCATGCTATTTTTAGACAAAAAAAACTAGTTGATCTTCAAAAATCAGCCAACATAAAATGTGCAGGGCCTGACCCAAAATCTGCAAAATCAAGGGTCGCTCCTCCCCTTAAGACAGACTAGCAACGCAATCAAAAGCAAAAAGCGATACACTGTGGACTGGGCAAATGACAGCTGTTTCAGATTTTTTTTGTGTAGTCAGCAATTTTGCTCCAAATTGGGAAATTTGTCATGAAAAGTGGGAATTCTGGCATATGCTGGAAAAACTTTCACCTAGGGTGGCATGTGACTAATAAAAAATTATTGAAAACCAACAAAATTCCTAACCCTTTCTAATCAAAGATCAGACTCAGAGACTCACCTGCTGCCAGGTAGATGGGAATGCTGGTTGACAGGGGCGTCTTTACACTCAGCTGTTTTATGTTGTTCCAGCCACCAGGCACTGCCTGAGACAGTTGGCCAACTGAAGAAATCACATTGTCTGTCACCTCAGCCTTGCCCATCTCGAGATTTGCCACAATTGCCAAACTGGGAATCAAAATTATGTTTCTGAATTTCTGCACAATCGAGGCAGACAACACATGTCATGTATAATGGTTTGGGAAAAGGAAAGAAGCAGGACCTATCCAGTGATCATTGTGGCATCATAACCGTATTATCTTATACTATCTCGTGTCTCCAAGAACCCACAATAGTCTAAACACTACTTTATAGAAAACAAGTGACTGAGTCAATAGTACTGCACAAGGCTTCCTACTCACTTACATGATGGTATGAAATATGTTTACTAGTTAGGTAACGTAAACGTTTATTAAAAAACATTAGACCCCCCCCCCCCCCCCAAAACAACAGGAGAAAAACTTCATCAATCCTGTCTGACATTCTGCATCTGAACCACATTTCCTGAACACTCAATAAACAGAAGTAAACATATTCTTTGATTATTTGCTTAACATACATACGTATAAGAGAACTAAAAATATTCTACGATCTTAGTGATACGTGATGGGTATATTTTTTTCAGAAAGCATTGTAGGCAGCAATGGTCCTGGCTATTATGCAAGCTGGTGTGTAAGTTAAAAACTATTTTCTTCTTCTTTTCAACACTGGGTACTTACTTCAATTAATTTAAGGCTTTGACATTTGGTAAAAATTAGCTACATATGTTGTTATAAGCAGAAGACCACTTGGAAATTTATAATCCATCCCATGCAAACCAGTGGCCACACTCATCCATACAATTTATTAAATTATTTTTTTTAATTTAGGTGTTTTTCATTTTTAGACCTAACGCCTTGGCTACCAGTCAAATCTAGATCTACAAAATCAACTGAAACCGATTTAAGATTACTCTCTTGGTAATCTTCATCTTACTCCGAAAATCTCAAATAACTTAAAGCATGTAAGTTGCACGGAACAGTTTATTTCAGAAACAACTAGTCCAGGAATTTCCATTTTCTGGCCGACCCCATTTGCTGCTGAAAAATCTCAAAATTATGAGGAAATAAACCCAAAACAACACAAGCCTTATCAGCCCAGGCATGTTTGATAACCTTATAATAAAATTTACAAGCCTGGGTTTTCTAACTGGTTGATGTTTACTGATTGTCCCTTACCCGTAAATCAAAGCATTGTATCAGAACACCGGTAAATCTACACTACAATGCAAAGGAGAATGAAAGTCCCCCCCGACATGTCAGTATAAAAGGCTCAAAGTATTAATAGACCTGCATGTGAGCCTCAACCAGATTGTCTGAAAATTTTGCACAACCACCCCACCTCCCCCCCCCCCAAAAAAAAGCCTCTTTGTGGGTGTCATAAGGAAGAACATCCGAGTAACGAGCGACCACCCAAACAAACACAATAAAGAAGAGACCTACCCCTAACCCTACCCCCAAAAAAACCCTGCAACGGGCCTCATGTAAAAAGGCCAAAACAAGTCCTAAATGAAAAAAAAAATTTTAATTAAAAAACCACACTCCAAAACAAACAAGGAGCATATATAGATCTAGATCTATATATATGGCTTACATCTACATTGCTATAGGGTTTGATACAATAACACAATAGAATTGGAATATATAATATGAATCCTTCATATATATATCTAGATCTAGAAATCTAGTAATCTAAATAAATCTAGATCTAGATCTTGTAGAACAAGTGAATAGGAATAGGCCTTGAACTAGAAATCCGCATCCGATTCCGAACAGAGGGACTCAGCTGAGTCTAGATTCTAGATCTAGATCTAGATTCTAGATCTTTACTACTTTACTAAATAAATAAACAATTCACGCACCTGATGAAATGCTTATTTTTACCAATATAAAGATTACAGCACAACCTATGATAGGGTTTGACACAATAGAATTGGAATATGAATCCTCCATTGAGGTCTATAATGATCTATATAAATCTAGATTTAGATTCTATTAGAACAAGAGAGTCGGACTTGAATGAATCCACACGATCTGAATTAGTCAACAAACGAAATTCAAAATGGCCCCTCGAGCACGAAACTGAAAGTAGATAATTTAAGTTGTCGTCCTTTTTCGTATTCGCATTTCTACTTAGGTTCCGACAATTATGTCGGAAACGCCGACATCGGCAGTCGGCGGTGCGCGCGTCGGCGGTCGGCACGAAAACGAAAGTGCCGACGGGAGAAAAATGGGTCACTGGCAGTCGGCCAAGCCTCGCACTACGCACATTGACTGATACAGGCAGGCCTAGCGATAGCATCAGCCGGTTCGCGGGTCGGGTCGCGATTGTCGGATTTCAGACGATTGTCGGCAAACATGCAGGTCTATGTTAAGTTAAAAGATATCACAAGAACATACTAACCTCGAAGCTCCTCGATTACTAATGACGCATCTACTGTTGTCAAGAGCAGCGTCTATTTCCTCTTTCAGTCTCTTTGCTTGTAGATTCACTTGAATTGGCGTCCTTATCAAAAGGAGACAAAATAGCAATAAATTTATTGTATAATCTTTCAAGGGATTCAACATTGAGCACATCAAATCCCATTTTCAACAAAACCAATACTGAGGGCTCACGGTTTCAACCCAACCTTAGTAAGTTCTTAGTACTTCTTTCATTTAATTCGAGTTCTACAGTACCATTACCTCCATAATAATATGCCCCCCAAAAAGTTACAAACGCCAGATTCTATCATATTGTGACACACTAATATATATTTGGAGCTTTTGGGCAAAATTTTAAAAAATTATATCTTTAAAATATCCCCCACCCCCAATCAAAATTTCTTTCTGTTAGCCATAACAATTTGCGGGTCACTGTTTATAGTTCATTGAACTGTGACAATTTTAATACTTTAAGCTGTCATCCTGGGCTAGTAAACTTAAAGAAAAAGAGCGGATCTGGGAAAGGAGTGAGCACGTGACAAATTTTGTAAACAACGAAAATGAATCAAGGTCAAGATGAAAAGCCATGAAAAGGGAGGATATCAAGACTTCTTAAAATTCTAGATTAAAGATAAAACAGAACTCTACAGTGCTATATTATCAATTTTCTCTTTTCGAGTGGCCATAATAACCAAGCAGAAAAATAAAAAGACCAGATTCTGCTGAACAAAATCAAATTAAACCAAAAAAAAAGAAAAAATCATAGATGAATATTATTTGTGCAATATTTTTTTGCTTTCAAATCCAAATGCTATATTTAAAAAAATCAAACTAAAAGTTTAATGTTACTTGCTCACAAAGACTTCTATATATACTCACTTCCTTTTCCCATAAAAATGCTTTCCTAAATATGTTGGTAGCAGCCTCACAACTCTGGCATCTGCCAGGAATACATCATAGGCATTTGACAGGTTTCTTTTGGCTTCATAAGGCTTGTATTCAGTCTTCAGAGATTTCAGGGGAATAATCTGAAAGGAAAAAGAAAAACCACCGAAATTAGACAATAGGAATGGTTTTCCATGACAAGTTGGAAAAGATCACGGTAAAAAAATGTTTGGCTCATATACATATATAACAAGAAACAGATAAAACTCTTTAGCACCGTCTAAACAGCCCATAAAGCAAAAATGGTACTTAACTTGTGCAGGAGAATTCTAAAATTCAAATTTGGGGAATTCTGTCAGCATTTTGAACAAAGAGATTATGCATAAAAAAAAAGACATTCTGGCATCACAACAACAAAAAAATGACACCTTATTGGTAGTCATTATATTTACTCACTGGAGAGCTAGATATGCATCATAAAAATAAAACAGGTTGCTGAAGGTTTTGGGGTAAGAAACTTGTCCAAGGGTGCCTGGTAAGATTTCTAGTTCATGTACATTTGACAGGAAGAGAACTTGGAGGAAGGGGCTTGTGATAGTCATATATGACTTGAGGCAACTGAAAGTTAAAAAAAAGCTAACTTGCCCATCCATGATATTAAGTAATACCAAACCAGATCAGAACAAAGAGGGGTATATTGGATTATATGAAGCGAAGACTTCAAAAAGTGGCATATGATTGTTTGAAAATTCAGGAATACTATGATGTAAAAGAAAAACATGCCTCATATAAAGTTTTAAAATCTTCTGTACTTGGGATTACAGAATCTACAAACAACCACCCTGACAACTAAAAGAGAACACATATATACAGAGGAAGAATCAAGATGCCATAATGACTTGATACAAGCATAATAACATTTGAGTTTTCTGAAATAGGAGCTGAATTTTTAAATACAAGCAAGTTTCAGTTAAACATCCACTAGTTGGCGCAGAGAGTACCAAGCTTAAAGAGTATTTACTCTGGCTCTACTTTTGCCTTGGTGAGGTGCCATGGAGGGACGCCGGGGAAAAGAAATTGTTGGATATCTCGTTCGGAAAAGAGTATGTTTTTGAGGTCCTCAAGGATTCTGAGGCCAAAGGGTTTGATAAGTCTTTCGTTGTTTTGGAATTTGTTTATGGTTTCTGAGTTTGTTTTAAAAATGCAGTTGTGTGCTGGGTTCTCTGGTGTTGAGCTCTGTTTAATTGCGTATTGTAGTGAGAGTTGTGAGCCTCTGAGTGCGAGTGATGGTATGTTTGCCTCGGCCAGGAGGCTGTCTACCGGAGAAGTGCGGAAAACCCCAGAGCGAGGCGGAGTACTTCGTTTTGCACTTTTAGGAGGTGTGGTTTTGCCGATCTGTAGACCTGACAGCCGTAGTCAAGCCTGGATCGGACAAGGGAGATGTACAAGTAGAGAAGGTGTTTTGAGTCCCCGCCCCACTCAGGATGCGATAGAATTTTCCCAGTGTTTCACGCTTTCTGGCACCTCACACGAAGGTCTTTGATGTGGGGTATGAATGTGAGTTTTTTGTCGAATATAACGCCGAGGAAACGAGCCTGGTCCAGGACGGGAATCCTTTCCCCATATAGTGTCAAATCCGGCTGCAGTACACATCTGCCTGTTCGGCAGAAGTGTACTGCAACCGTCTTTGACGGGGAAAACTTGAAACCGCTATCGTTCGCCCACCTTTCGAGTTTGCGCAGCTGCGTTTGCAGCTGCCTTTCCATAGATCTTAGACGAGGATTTTTCGAACGGCAGCATATAAAAAAGTCGTCAACGTATGACGAGCCATCTACGCTGTTTTGGAGGGTTTTTACGATGGAATCTATTTTGATTTCAAATAGGAGAGGAGAAAGGATGCTCCTCAGGGGGACTCCTTCCTCCTGTTGTTGAGGGTCTGAAAGGGAGGATCCGACACGAACCTGGAAGGAACGGTTCTTCAGGAAATTGCCAATGAAGGCAGGGAGGTGACCGTGTATGCCGAGTGCATGCAGGTCTCTGAGAATGCCCTACTTCCAGGTTGTGTCGAAGGCTTTTTCTAGGTAAAAAAAGATAGCTATCACGTGGCTTCCTTCGGCAAACGTCTCGCATATAAAGGTCTCCAGGCGGACCAGGTGATCCAGAGTGGATTGAGTTTTCCTGAATCCGCACTGGAGACCGCTCAGCAAGCCCGTCGCCTCCAGACACCACATGAGTCGCCTGTGGATCATTTTTTCTGTAAGTTTGCACAGACAGCTCGTTAGTGCAATTGGTCTGTAATTGCATGGGAGTGTGTGGTCTTTGTTTGGTTTGGGTAAAGGAATGACAGAGGCGAGACGCCAAGACTCCGGAAAGGAGTGCGACCGTCACATGTCGTATATGTCTAGTAGGAGTGTAAGTGTTTCTGTGGTTAAGTGGTCAAAGTAATGATCTGGTTGTGTATGTCATCAGGTCCTGGGGCTGTATTGCCCAGGTCCGAGATGCACGATTTTAGTTCTTCTAATGGGAAGTCTCAGTTGTAGGGTTTCAGTGTTGTTTGAGTGGAAGTTTAGGTGTTGTTGTTCTCTAGTAGTTTTGATGTTTTGAAAGGTGGTGTTGTAGTTTGCTAGGGATAAGTTTTTGGCGAGAGATGTAGCTATTGTGTTTGCGATGTCTACCTGTGTTTCAGTTGTGGTTCCATCTGGCCTCTGGACATGCCGAATGGTGTCTGTGCGTCTACCGAAGAATTTTTTAGCGATTTTGAAAACTTGGTTGAGTGGTGTCAGGCTGTTGATTTTGGAGATGTATTTTTTGAACGATTGAGGCATCTACGTGCCTCAGCTTGAGCCTTTAAATAATTAATCTTGTTTTCTGTTGACGGCCTTTCGATATGCTGCCTTCTTTTTCTTTACTGCATCATCACAGTCCTCAGAGAACCAGATCTTGTTCTTCCGCTTTTTTGTTTTTGGTATGTGTTTGTGGCATATTTTTAAAAGCTTTTCGTGGATTTTTTTGTAGTTGAGGTTGAAAGTGGGATTCAGAATCTGAGAACATTCAGCGGCAAACCCGTCCCAGTGTGATCTTTTGAAGTTGAAGCGTTCTGGGATCGGGTCGTTTTGGAGGCCATTGTTTTTTTTAAGAAGAATTGGGAAATGGTCCATACGGTCATCCAGCACAGACCACTCAAGATCTGGGACTAGGTCAGGGGTACAAAAGGCGAGGTCAAGGGATGATGTGCTAAAAGTGGCTCTGTTTCTGTAAGTTGGGGACCTATCAGATGTTATTTTGAAATAGAAAATCTTCTATTATTTTTCCTTTCTGGTCTGAAGGTTTGTCTCCCCAAAGGGGGCTGTGGGCATTTAAATCACCTAGCAAAATAAAGGGTTTTGGGAGCTGGGCCTTTAAGTTATTTAGTTGGGTTATTTTGAGGGGGTAATTTGGTGGGATATAAACTGAGCAGATTGTGATTGGTCTGTGCAGGGTGACCCGTACGGCAATAGCCTGGAGGGTCGTCCTAAGAGGTATTTGTCTCTGGTGTGTGTTGTTGTCGGTCTAGATGGTGGTACCACCGGAAGCAATCTGGTTCTCCGTGTGAATGTGATGATATGCAGTAAATCCTCCATGGGTCTCAACTGAGAATTTTAAAAAAGGAGGAACTTTCCGGGTGATCGCCACAGAAGCCCATTTTCGCGAAACACCCATTATTATTCTTATACTGTTGAACCCTAGAAAGCAGAAATAAAAACCATTAATTTATCAAAGCAATGTCATTTCACACCAATAAGAGGGTTTGGGAGATAATTTCAAGTAAGAAGAGGCACGTACAAAATATTTACAATCTTGATTACGTACAGAAAGTGGTGGCGCCTGCGGTCTTGTGCGACTTTTTAATTTTTCCCTTCATCATATTCGTCTGTATATATAAACTTTATAAAATGAATCTTGTTTTGAGCCTAGAACCAGAATATTGACGGTCATGATTCATATCATAGGCCTATATAATAAACGTGAAAGACAAAAATTAATGCTCAAAGTACAGAAGTATAGCCCAAGTATACCTTTTCAGTGTGAGAGGTGTAAAAGAACTGAGGGAGGGCAAGATGCGGTGGAACTGAAAATCTGCGGATCTTGAATAGAAAGCTGAAATATAGAGGTCTAATTTACTGTCACCAATCCAATAAAACACGAACACTTAGGCCCCCAAGTTCCACAACACGCTTACAAGTTATGACGGTTCCCGTTTTTACACAAGGCCTGCACCAACGCACACTTTACTTTGCAGAGAGCTGTAGATCTAGTAGCAATCAAAATTCTAAACATAAAACATATTTGCTTCCAGTTTCAAATTTTTTGTCTTCTGGTGTTGCGTCCAGCCCTCCCCCTATCCCCGAGTGCGTCTTTTTAAAAAAATCAATAATCTCCCCCCATTCCTGAGTCCTGTACTTCGAAGCGCTCAGATTACTCAGAACGCGCGCAGGTTCATTGACCGGTCACAATGGCGAGCCCGGCAAGACGCTTGTATTATAACTTTCTTTTCTTTTCTTTTTGCTGTCCCCATAAGTGACGGCACAGTGACAAATATTGATTTATTTTCATGGCGACACCACGTTTGTAATACCGAACCTGCATGTTACAATAATTGTTGCGTTAATATCAGACAATTACTGACAAATTTCTGGGTGGTAACGAAAGCGAAAGTAGATCTTGATTTTCCAGTCGAACCTTGGTGACACAATTCCGCTTGCCGCCAAAACCACCAGTTCGCGCGAAACGTACTCTATGAGCCGAATTAATATCACGATCGCGACCGGTAGAAATGAACTTAAAGACGTTATTGAATTTGGTTTTCAAATGAGATCTTTTATGTATTTTCCCGGGGCTCGGCGATTTTTAAAAAAATTCCCGGACCTGGCAACCACCCTGCTCCCAACAACTCTCTTTCTGATTGGCCCGCTGTTGCGGTAGCGGACTTTACCGGAGGAAATGGCGGTAGCGGAAATCCGCTAAATAGCGGACTATTGAGACCCATGATCCTCTTAACTCTTATGGTTGAAGCCGGGGCGAATTTTGTTTCTTGTACACATGCCACATTTGGCCACAGTGTGGTCTGTAAGTGTTGCAATTCTGCAAGGGAAGGTCGGATTCTGTCGGCATTCCATTGCAGGACCGCCATTATGACTTTTTATATTTGGAGCACGCAGATCCCGGCTTCGAAGAAACACTCTGACTTCTCTTTGCGGGGGAGGAAGAGTGTCTTCTAGGTAGCTGTCCTGGAATGGACGGCGGCCTAGTGGGGGATTTGGAGGAGTGACGGACTCCGCCCTTCCTGGGGACATGCCACATTGCACCAAAGCTGTGCCAGGGCTACCCCAGAGCTATACTCTTCATAAGAAAGTACAAGACCCTCCCGCCAAGATTGACCCAGGACTGAAGGGGTTTCAGCTCTCAACCGATTGAGTAACATGGGCCGTGCCACCCTCCCGTATAAGAGGAAAACCTGGGCCAAAGAGGTGTGTTGGCGAGGGACAGTCCGTAGACTGATCTCACCTCAATCTGAAGGTACACGGTATCCCTCCGCACGGGTCGCACCTCATGGTCAACAAGGCGCCCACTTTGTGGGATGGGTGACCTCTCTTTTTGCTGCACATGAGGTCAGCGGGGAGAGAGAAAATAAAAGAAGACAGAAAGAAGGAAGGAGAAGAGGAAGACACATCAAAGCTGGTGTCGCAACCGGATCCCAGAGGGTTGGGGTCCGTGTGCGACACCTCGCCTTTGAAGGGATCGCACCTCCTGCAGACGAAGCAGTGGGTCTATTTATATCCCCCCCCGACCCACTGGGGGTGCGTTTAATTCTAAAAAAGCACCCCACCCAAATATTATTAAAATAAGCAAATAAAAGAGTGTAAAATTGTATCATTTACAGGAAAATTAGTTAAACTGATTGATAAAATGCAAACTCTTTAAAAATAAAATGATGCAGTTAATCTATATCATAGACTATGCTAGCTTAACTGTTGTGTTGCCTCTCTCTCTGTCCCACATCAGTTAGCCTATGCCTTTTTTCAAGTTCATGGTTTAGTACAGTTTATTTCTTTACAATGTGTTTTGTCTTTTTCCTATTTTACATCAATTTTGAAAACTTTGTTTATACCGCACACATGTTTTTGCTTGTAAGAAACAGACAAATTTTTGTCACGCCGGAGTGCACGGAAATGAGCGCGCTGATGAACTTGCCGGCAAAGCAGCATCCAATGGCCGAATCATGCTCGACCCACCAATGTTGATAGCCAGATGCAGGGAGAGCCTTCACGACCAAGAGGAGACAGACTCCCACACACTCAGCACAATAAAAGAAAAGTGTGTGCGGGGCACAGCGAAAAAAAGTTTGCTCCGAGGAGTGGTCAGGCGTGTCTCAAACCAGCTCCTCGTGGAGACAATTAGCTGGAAGACCCTGAGGTGGACGCTGGAAAGGAGAGATGAGCAGCTATGGACATGTGCCGCCTGCTATGATTCTAGTTCTGGATCCAAGTAAATCCAAGACAAATTTTTACAAAAATAAGGGTGATTTTGGGGGGGTCTAAAAAAGATCACAAATATTCCTAGTAATTTCAACAGGAAAAATAAATTTGAAAAGTCTTTTGAGTCACCAGCTCGGTCTTGGAATGAATTAAACTCATAGCTCAAGACATTACTGTATTATTATTATTCAGTAACAACAGTTTTTCATTGACATACCTCTGCCACACAAGAGACACCGTGTTTCTTTAACATCTCCTGAAAATGACGAACTGTCGGCTCATAGTCACGATCTTCTCTGTCCAAGTCTTTCACAAACAGACACACTTCCATATTCTCATGCCTGAGGCTGTGAGGTAACTTTCTGCAAGAAAAATACACTGGCTTTAAAACAATGAAACAAGTTTCTATCATCAAAGCTGCGGAAACAATCAAAATGGGATAAAATGAAAGCCTTTCACAAACACAATATTGATTATTTCAGTGATGAGAGTAATAGCAGACATTTAAATCAAATTTTCTTTTCTTCATCATGTAAGTATCATATATGACAGCCTTAGGCATGTGCGTGTGTGTGCTTTAACTTAACCCGTTAGGGCTCACCCCTGCTCAGTGAGATACATTACCCAAGAGAAAAGAACAAAGTACTTTAGAATTCTCCACACAGGAATCGACCCACTGTTGTTACCAAAGAACTTAAGGGGAGATGTACACTTCCGGAAAAATGTTCTAAATGAATGACTGTTATTCACTTTCATGTAATTGTGCAAGAAGGTCATAGGTAAATAGGATGTACTAAGGGTGAATTTGTTTTTTTTTACTCTGAAAACTGGGTCTCTGTGGCGGCCAGCTTGGATTTTCAAACCAGTTTCTTAGTGCAGAAGAATTCCATAGTAAATATTGAATTATAAGCCTGAAATTTTGGGGTACATATTACAAAAATTTGAATATTTCCACAAGTCACCAATATTTCCCAATTCCTTCACATGGATCCCCAGAATAGATCTTAAAGCACCTGTACGCCAAAGTTGAAGCTTTTAACAACTGTAGATTTTGAAAACTCCTTGCACCAAGGAGGTCACATTTGTCAAAAAGTAGATTTTGAGAAAAACAGAAAAAACAGGGATTTTTAAAAGCATTTTTAGTGCAAGTTGCACTTTTCAAACACCCTATTAGGTCATTTAGGGTGTTTTTTCAACAGTTCGTTATTGTGACCAAATAGAACAGATGTCAAAGGATGTTTTTCCGCAAAAAACAAAAGTTGGATAGTTTGAAATTTTTTATCGATATTGTCTGGGAATGCCGACCCGGGTCTTCCCTTAACCATTAAGCCCCATTTAGACGTACAGTTCGCTGATCGACAAACTGTAGGATATCGAGAGGGTGGCCGGCATCCTGTCAATTTCACATGGAAACTGAGCAATTCTCTTGATATCGAAGGGTTTTCCGTCCAACCACCAGATATCTGGCGACGCCAGATATTTGACGGCCGGCGAACCGAAGGAGTGAAGACGAGGGAGCGGCTTCTTTGATGTTACCCCAGGCGTAGTTGAAAATACATTCCAAAAATTTCCGAAATATTCGTCAAATCCAAAAAATAATAAGATTTTCGTGATCAGCGACCCAAAATTAGTAAAATTCACGCAGAGAACGCAATTTAATACCGGATTACCAAGTTAAATTATGTTTGTGTGTTTGCTTTTGAATTACCATTCGCCAGCCCTTCACCTTCAAAAGTGAAGGCAAAAAAACGTACCGCGTGATGTGTGTGTAGTATACTGCCGAGATGTGTTGGAGTCAGCTGAGGGCTACACACCATTGTTTCATCTAGCTAGACAGTGCTGTTTATTTTAATTTTTTGCTGTTGTCTACGCGCTACCAGTTTTACTATTGCACTCATGTCCGTGTGGAATAACAAGGAAACTGGGCGCTTTTTCGGTAGTTCCCACCCCTCTTAATTAGACCTAGATCTAGATCCAGATCCAGATCAGAGAGGGTGATCCAGATCTAGATTTAGATCAGAAAGCTATGTTTGATGCGCAGCGAGCGAGAGATATCAAGGTAAAGTGCCCCCCCCCCTACATCTACTCTAGGGACCAAAACCGGCGAATAGTAATTGGGGGTGGGGGGTGGGACTACCAAAAAAGTAAACTACTACAGTTCATCGCACTTTATCGAACGTTCCCAGCATTGTGGAAATAGAATATTTGTGTGTGTGTGAATGTACTGAGGGCTACACTCCATTATTTCATCTAGACTATTCTAGACCAGTAGATCTAGACAGTGCTGTTTATTTAATTAATTGTTTTTTGTCTACACGCTACCAGTTTTACTATTGCACATGTCTTCTAGTTTTACTACAATGACAAAGGTGTCCGTGTTGGAGTCAGCTGAAGGCTACACATCATTGTTTCATATAGACAGTGCTGTTTATTTATTTGTTTTTGTCTACACGCTACCAGTCCAGTTTTACTATTGCACAGGTCTTCTAGCCTAGTTCTAGTACAATGTCCGTGCCGTGTGGAATAACAAGGAAACTGGGTGTCTTTTCGATAGTTCCCACCCCGCTTATTTGGACCTAGAGATCTAGATCTAGATTTAGATCAGAAGTTATGTTTGATGCGCGGCGAGCGAGAGATATCAAACCTAACGGCAAAACGTCAAATTATGGAAAAGTGCCCCCCCCCCCCTCCACATTCTTATTAGATTTCTAGCTGTCCCCCTGAAACACTCTTGGGACCAAAACCGGCGAATAGTAACTGGAAGGGGGGCTACTGAAAAAGTAAACTATTCTACAGTTCATCGAACGAACATTATCGAACGTTGCCAGTATTGTGGAAATAGAATATTTGTGTGTGTAGGTACTTCTTTTTAATAGCCATTTTGGATTTGAGAGATTTGAGAACAAAAAATGCTGCCAAATCATCCATGTAGCTTGCTTCAGCCATTGTTAACGTTTTTGACCTAGATCTAGCTACAACAGTCCAAGGACGGATAAAAAACTGTACGTCTAAACGGAACATCTCTCGTCGACAAACTGTCAGCTTACAGATGACCGAGATCGAGCGTCCGTCGGTTAAACTGTCAATTTGTCGATCAACGAACTGTACGTCTAAATGGGGCTTTAAAGATCAGAAGCTGGTCCTAGCACCTTTAAACCACACACAATCGACAAAAATTTAGCAAGCCACACTGACCCATATCCCAGAAGAAGTCTTTCCCGAAGACCATAGATTGGTTTTAAAAAATCATAGAGCAAGCTTTGCCTCATACATACAAGGGGCATACCAAAATTTTTAACCTGACCATGAAGGAATAAAGGTAGAGAAAGCTGAAATTTGGGGCTAAAGCCAACAATTATATTCCCAGAGTGCATGTCAATTTTGGGGAATTTCTGACAGATTACTGGTTTTACCACCAGCGCACTGTAAGTGAATGGGGTAATGTTCTCCAGTTTCAACATAAAATTGAAGAAAATTGAGCACAGGGCAGTATGAAGTTTTTGTTCTTGCAAGGCAAGCAACAACAGGATATTTTTACGAAGATGCATGCCGGATATGAAACTGATTGCCTATCCTATGCTGTGATGAAATTTGGGTGCAAAAAATTCAAATGCGGATTCGTAGACATTGAAGATGGCCGCCAAGTGACAGCAACAACAAAAGAGAATGTGTTGAAAATCAAGAAACTTGTGTTGTCTGATAGGCCGGTGACAGTTGAACTTTTGAGCAAAGAAACTAGGCTTAGCATTGGATCAGTAGAACGAATCTTTAATGAACACTTCTAAAGGACCAAGGTTTCTGCGAGATGGGTCCCACGTTTGTTGACTCCTCAAAAAGTGCAACGTGTGGATGCATTATCTTTAAGAATTGTTGCTTGGTTTGTATGAAAAGGATGAAACTAAATTTTTTGAAAGACTTGTAACCAAGGATGAGACATGAGTCCACCACTACGATCCTGAGTCAAAAATCTGCATCAACGCAGTGGAAATCACCCTTGTCTCCAACACCAAAGAAGGCAAAGCTGCAGCCATCAAGATGAAAAGAGATGCAATCAGTTTTTTGGGACCAAGAAGGAGTGATCATGACAGACTATTTAAATTTTGAAAATGGATATACGATCACTGAAAACCATTATTCTAACCAGCTAAAAAAAATTACGAGAGGCTGTAAAAAAAAAGCGCAGAAGAAAGATACGAAAAAGCATTTCGCTGCTTCACGACAATGTGCCAGCACACACTTCAAGAAAAGCTGCAGAAATTGGATGAGAAAATAGCTATGAAATTTTGCCACATCCATCCTATTCTCCAGATATAGTCCTGTCTGACCCTTTTTATTCCCCAAACTCAAAAAAGGATTTAAAAGGAAGGCATTTTGAAAGAGATGATGAGGTCAAATAAGCAATAGAGGGCTGGTTTCCTGACATACAGAGGGTCCTCTATTCTCAAGGTCTTTTCAAGGTCATAAACCGATGGCAAAAAAATGTGTAACTCTAGGAGGCGACTACATAGAGAAAGACTAAGTTTAGTGCCAAATTTCAGCTTTCTACCTTTATACCCTTATGGTCTGTTAAAAAAACTTCATATGCCCATCCCATACAACTGACATAGCCTTTGATTAGAAAAAGACACACAAAAGCAGAAACTCAGTAAGATATATTATATGAACCAGCATGAAATATCCAATGTTCACAACTATTCACACATTTAGTCCAGAATTAACTTCCAAAATATTTTCCCTGATCCTTTTTAACCTTCAATTATCCACATGTCATGTGAGCCCTGACTAAGTAACATAAAGCCCACAATAAACCATTTTGAGAAGTGATCAGTACAAATACAAGTAATAATTTTACTCAATTTGTCTAAACGAGCTCGCTCTCAATTCATCTGCAATAAATTTCTTTGAATTCCTTCCATCTCATAGAAAGAAAAAACTCCCAAAAAACCAAGATAACTGATCCTATAGAATAGTACCACAATTTCAGCCCATGTCTCAGTTTAACACTTTTTTTCACTGTACAGTCCTTTCAAATTTCGACCAAAAGTACAACTGTATGATGAGACAAGCCCAAAAAACAAAACAGAAAACAATTAAATAACAGCAACCACTGCAAAACTTATAATACATAAAAAAGTTCACCTGCAGAAAAGAAAAACAATAGGAGGCAAAATCTAGACAATCCACAATATTTTTATCATCACATATGAAGAATCAGCTATCACGATAACTCCCAGAATTAATCATGTGCATACTTACAACTTCACAATTTTTTCCCTGGGGGGTATTTTCTTCAAACAAATCTGCATCTGCACTTGATTCACTTCATCGACAAGACTTTTCTTTTCCAGTTTCTTGGCCAACTGTACGAGAGTGCCAACAGCAGTAGAGACCTAAACAAACAAGATTGACTTTTACACAGTTCAGTTGAAAACATCACTTTCATCTCAACACTTTCTCCCCATTACTGGAAAAGCAAAATTTACAGAGTAAAGTGCATTTGAACTTGAAGCATAAACAGTGACTGAGCTGTTGATTCCAGATCAATATTTTTTCAATGGCTTCTCTTACCATAAAAAAAACACTGAAATTATATTGTGTTATATACAACCATTGCTGACAAAATGTACTAATACCGGGCATTATTTTTTAAATACTTAGAAAGAGGAATTTCTTAATTACCAGTCAAATATCAGCACTTACACGGAACATTCATTTCAATTTCATAAAGTACATATTGTTAAAAAGGGAAAATTTGTGAAACAAAACTGAAAATTAAGATACCGAAGATCATCTAACTACATACATAGAAAGTGTTCTTACAAGCACTAATCATAATTCACATTAATTTAAAAAACTAAATAAATAAGTTATCAAGCCTAAGACTACTCCCTATGATTAGACAAGATAAAATACAGTAGAGTCCACTTACGTCAAACACTTTTACTTTAAAAAACAGCAGTAACCAAAAGAAAATAGAATCACTGATATTTTTTCCCTTCTTTCTTTTTGTAAGAAAAGTACTGACCATATAAGTCAAAATGCTTCCATTTCTAACCAAAAAAAACCTTTTAGGGTTATATCATCTAAATCTTCACCAGCAACTCACAAGTAATGCAAATCATCAAGACTTAGGTGTTTCAAAATTGAGAAACAAAAATTAGAAAGAAACACAAGAACACACGTGGCAATTGAGGATCAGAGAGGCATTGCCAATGTACTGTTTGCCTATATTTATCACACACATCAATAGGTCTACACACTGTGCATAGTGACACAAGGATAGCAAATGTATGTCTATCACGTGACCTTCAGTTGGTCGTGGACTGTTCTCAAGCTAGTTCACATGGGCCCTACGCTTGAGCTTGTGACAGTATGTGTTATGTTTCATAACATTCCTGGCATTGGGTTTCTTACTTTTCTTGCCCAGCAGAGAGCACAGGGCAGTGTTCTGATCTACTCTTTCATCTGTTCTGCATGACTGTCAGGCAGATTACGCAAACTGACCATGTCGAAGAAAAAGACAATGTGTACAGCCTGCAGCTCAATATGTAGTTACCGAAAAAGGTAGACGAGTAAAAAATTTCTCAAAAAGTGAAATTTACAGCAAGAAGGGCATTCCCAACTCTACTGTTTCGACAATTATCACTTTTTGACCAACACATCTCTAAACCAAAGAAAGCCCAGCAATCCCGCAGATTTCCGCTAGTGCAGACTCCACTGTAATTATTAATCTAAACCTTGCATTAGAGACCTTGTGAAACAAATTACCTTTCTTTCCTTAAGCTCCATACTGGTCATTTTGTATTTCTCTGGAAAGAAGTGACCACTATGTATCCTTACAAAAGAAGGTACTAAAAGTGACCTCAGCTGTAAAAAAATGAAAAGAGAAGTTATTTAAACCTCAAAGTGTGCTTTCATTAGCATTTTCACAACACAGCTAGGTTCACACACAAAAATAAAAAATCCTGTTTCAGATTAATATAAAGTAAATTGGTTCGTGATCATGAGATTGCATCAAATCAACTCTTAACCCGCTACTTATTACAGAACTAAGTAAAATCAGATGGAAAAATCCCCCTCCTAAATATGACTTTTCATCACAATTAATAGAAATGGACATGACTACAACATAGATGATAGTGAGTTTCAGTTAACAGGACGGCCATAACCAACAGTATTCGATAGAGTACTACATGAATAATACCATTCATCTCCAGATCTCTTAAATCTATACATCGAAAGGAGTCAAGGTGGGCGGCCACAAAATCTACAACCTAAAGTAGGCTGATGATACAGTCTTGATAGCTTGCACAGACTCTAAGCTCCAAGATGGCTTTCATATGACCTTATGCAGTTCCGAGTGCTGTAAAACCTCTATTTAAACTAAAAAGCTCAAAGAGATTCTAACTAACTAGGTCTAGAATGAAAGAGAAGAGCCTACTACTGAATGCCAAGAAAGCGGAATGCACATGTGAGGCATCGTGGTGAAATCAGGCGCTTGTCAAAATAACAAAATTGGAGAAACAGGCATTTTCCCACCAGTCTCGCAATTTTAATCAAATTTTTTTTTTATTCAACCCTTTTATGTCCAAAAAAAAAAGACATTTCCATGTGAACTAGAATACTCTGATTAGATCTAGATATCTACCTTTTATTTTTTACCATTTCATTTGGTAGCGTCAATTGCCACCGAGTGACGCGGTGGCAATTGACAAAAATTGATTTTTTGTCAATTGCCACAGAGTGAAGCGGTGTCAAGTCTGAAAACAACACTAGAGTAAAGTCAGGTGTGCGTCCACCTTAAGGCCTTTAGAAAGCCATAATTCAGCGATTTTCGTATCGATCCAAATTTTGAAAGTATCGGCAGAATTGGACGCATCACCAGACTTAGTTATCATCTCTGTATGCTTAATAGACTTCATTCTACATTGCATTTTAATGCATCCACTTTGCTGGTGAATGCGTCCACTAGGTCTGGTCAGTGCCACCCCCCCCCTAATTCTTTATAAATATTAGAAATAAATGATGTTTAAACATAGAATCTAGATCTCTATGTTCACCCAGTCTGTCATTCTTCATCTCATTATTATTCACTCACTCATTCTTCATTATGTAAGAAATAAAAATGAATAAAACCTTTAGACCTATGTTAAGATGGTTCATTTATTAACATTGACATTAGATAAAGTGACAAAAACATTTACATGTAGACTCTATTTATTAATTTACAACCAAATATCTTTATACTTATGTAGATTTATTAAAAATTTTAGTTTGTAATGTTCAGTAATTTAAATGCATGTAAATTTATGCATTCAAAACACGTGGATGGATGGTAAGTACAAGGGGGTTATGAAAAAGTGGGTATGCACTTTTCGGGTTTGAGCCAGTAAGATCTTTAGTCAGCACATTTCACATATTCAGAGCCACTCTAAAGGGCCATCTAGACTTGAAAGACTTTTGTTTTGGGTTTTTTAATGTTACAATAACAAACAAAAAATAATGTAAACGATCAAAATCTAGATCTCTACATCTAATGGGATTTTTAAAAACCAAATAAAATTTTCACAAAAATAAGCCTTTGATTGGTAATAGATGTCTACAAGTGGCTGAGTGAATGACATATTATGCATTTGTTCAGGATGTGAACTCATTCACCATACTGAATCTACTCAGTCGGTGAGTGCCACCACCCATGGACGCATGACCAGACTATACTAAAACTTGGTATGGTGAGCGCGCCCACCCCCCTCGTGGCTCAAAATTCCATTGTTGAATGGCACAATGGGCAAAATTATATTTTAAAACTTTTGTAAAGGCTAATAAAAGCAAGTGAGGGCGCTTGGGGTTCATTAGTTGCCAAGCAACTGACTAGCAAATAAGCGTCTTCGCCAGTGTAACTCGCTAATGTAGAAGACACATTTTAAATACCAGAAAATAACGACTTACAGAGTGTAAAAAACGAAAGTAAAATGCAAAATGAAATGGAAACTGCTTATACTTTTTAATTACACGACCGAAATCGATCAAACACCGATGAATGACAAAATACAGCGAGTGGACGCATAGACCAGGTGGACGCGACACCCTACTTTACTCTATATATTTAGCATTATACATAATGTGTGTCTAATGGGTCAATTTGTTCTCAACTAACTTCATTGGATGAGCATCTAGTCTAGAGCTACGGTACCAACTTAGTGTGTTTTCAATGAGTCGTAGGCCTAGATCTAGGCTAGCCTTAGCCTACACTTTGGTGTAGAACCAACACAGGCAATTCTAGAAGTAGAAGGTCACAAACGCAAACAAACTCAAGCAGAGAGGCGAACGCACAACACTGTGCACTCAAGCACAATAAGCTAGATATCTACCTACCAACGTAAAAGAGCTCCAGTTTCCTCGGTGGCAATTGACAAAAAGTCAATTTTCTTCAATTGCCACCGCGCCACTCGGTGGCAATTGACACTACCTTTCATTTTGTGTTTGCTGGGGTGTCGCTCGTTACTGAAGTCCTTCACTAACCTAGACTTCTAGATCTAGAAATCTAGATCTACATCTAGATCTAATATATCTAGATGGCTGATGTTAGGGGACCGCACACCCCAATAGCACTTGGCGCTAGGGGACCGTACGCCCCCAGTGTTTTGTGCTAGGGGACCGTACGTCCTACCTGCGCTAAGGCGTGGTGTTACGGGACCGTACGCAGATATGTGCATGCATCTCGGCGATTTTTTTCAAATTCCTGGGAAATTCCAGGGGGCCCCGGGGGCCTGGCAGTCACCCTGTACACGTGTTCCTGTCCGATCTTGCAAAATTCAAGGAGTTTTCAAGGAGATTTTTCCTTGAATGCAAATTCAAGCAGTTTTCAAGGACTCCTTGAATTCAAGGAGGCCGCGGGAACCCTGTTATTCATATTTTCCCCTCATCATATTCGCTTATAATATATAAACTATATAAAAATGAATCTAGCTTTGAGCCTGAGAAAAGGCCTCGAACCACAAGACAATATCTACTGTCAAGAACCAGTTGGGGTGTCAAGGTTTTTATAATAAACGTGAAAGGCAAAAATTATTACTCTAGCTCAAAGTAGAGTAATAACACGAATGGCTCAAGTAGACTTCTTCAGAGCGAGAGGTGTAAGAACTGTCGGAGGGCAAGATGCAGTGACACTGAAAATCTGCGAATCTTGAACAGAAAACTAAAATATACAATACATATAATTTACTATCACCTACGCAATGAAACGGG